TTAATGGTTTTCGATATAATTTCGTCTTTTTGTTCAACCAATAAATTATATACCAGAAAAGATGAGATGTATCCAATTTCAAACCCTGTTTTTACTATTCCTATTTGTGTGCAGCAAAGTTGAAAATCAGTAGCGATAAAGCAGTTGTTACAGGCAATTCGGAATATGAAATAATCAGATGCTACCATACACAATCCTTCCTTATAGACGTATTTACGTCAAAAAGACGTGTTTTCTCTTCCGGAAATCACTAGCTCCATGTTCTCTATTCAGTTTAGCAGTTATGTTACCAGCTATACACAGGCAGTCCAGTCGGGAGTATGCTCTGAGAAAAATGTGTAACTGTGTTGCGTCTTTATTAGAATGACTCGTGGCGAATTTAGATTCCATCCATCGCGAATAAACACAAAAAGAAGTTCGAATCTTTATTCATCACATTCCTCATCAACTGATTTTGCGTGTGTTATCAGAACGTATGTTGTATATACAAAGTTCCCAGAAGGGTTTATTTATTTATATAATTATTATTATACGAGATATTAGGCCTAAGTATATATCTTTTTGTGACACCTATAATGCCTGTTAAATATGATGTAAGTAGTTAAGATGTTCAACTTTATTTCAAAAGTTTTTAAAACGTTTAGCTATAATACATTTAACGACAAATAAGTTTCAGTAGATTTGCGTTCTTGCAAATCGTTCTGTATACTGAAAACGCCTAAAATGGGAAAAGTATAACAATCGACATTTCGATGTTAAAACTTACGCCAGAATTCTTCGAAGCTAACCTTGTCACCTGAATCACATTCCCTGATATGCCTGGAGAAGTTTTCATGCGGGTTACAGGCTTTAAGATGTGGCTGTTATGTAGGACATTGTTGGTCGCCATGATAATACTGAAATGAATCCGCGCACATGTGAAAACGCGGAAGGAAAATCGCGTATAACAAGTCAAGTGTACAATTAAACTATCACATGCGCCTCTGTACAGTGTATTGTTTTTTTCATTATCGGTAGGAATCAAAATCTGCGACTAAGTGCGTGCAGTGCGTAATAAAACAATTTATACGCAACAACCGTCACATACATGAGCATTGTGTATAAAGTTTTTTGGGGACATTCTATAAACAGATGATGTTTCCTAGGTAACCATCTTACATATTTTCCTTTCTCTTTCTTGCCGAATGACCCTTCCTTATAGACGTATTTACGTCAAAAAGACGTGTTTTCTCTTCCGGAAATCACTAGCTCCATGTTCTCTATTCAGGTTAGCAGTTATGTTACCAGCTATACACAGGCAGTCCAGTCGGGAGTATGCTCTGAGAGAACAACACTTTTGAACTCTCTCTGAATTTACTGACGCAATGAAGGATCCTGAGCGTCGAGTAACGTAGAGCATGCAAGGCAGTAGCGACAAATCTCTTTGTCTTTACTATTTTTATATCTCCTGTGTTCTGTTTCTTTCATTCGAACTTCTGTAATTTTTTTCCGATGGAAACGGAATGTTGAATTCACAAGAGTGCC